AAAATAAATATCTTAGTAGAAAAATCTATTTCTTAGTTTCTGCATGTTCTGAATGTGATATTATTTCAAATCAAGAAACAGGTTTGTGTTGCCTGATAATATTAATAATAATATTAGTTTTTTGTCTCTTACAATTGCACATTTGATAATAGTAGTAGCTTGAGTTAGGATGCAGATGTAAATTTTTGTTCGTTATCAAAATCAGTAACATCTGTAAAAACTGTAGCAACCTCATTTTTATATGGTGAAATTTAATTTAAATTTAAAAAAATGTAGTTTTTTTTTTAATTAACCATTTGCCTTCCATAGCATACATTTAGATCATGATAACAGTTAACACAGTTAAAACCACACATATAGCACACCTCAATACCATAGGAAAAATATAACTATATGATTTTTAGGTATTTGTATGAAAAACAGTAGTCTAAAAACATTAATATCAGGCTAAATGCACACATGCTATAGCTTAATCACAAAAATACTGCAATTATATTGCATCACTCCTTTAATACATTTAATACTATGGTGCCCGGGAGGTGACATGGTCGGTTCACTTAGTTTTGTCGTGGCCACGACATAATAACTTGTGGGAACTTGATAATATGTTGTGGCCACGAGATATTAATTCATGGGAACGTCATATTAACTCGTGGGAACGTGATATTATGTCATGGCCATGAGATCATTTTGTCGAGGTAACGACAAATAAATAACCTGACAATTATGCCAATAAAATTTTGAATTTATGATTGTATTTATGCCCATGTGTGATGATAAATGAGCGTGTTGTGTTTTCTTTTACATATGAAACTACATGAATGATTAATTCCTCAACGAAACACTATAGTATTTATAATTATGATCTATGAATTAACTGAAATAAAATGAAATATATGTTAAATTTAAACTGCATTCCAGCAAAAATTCCAGTCAGCATAATCAAAGCTTTATTGGCATGTTGAGCATTTACAGTAGGGTATTATTTACAAAAGTATTCAGAACGTTTAAGTAAAGAGATCGAAATGAAGGGGAAAAAATGAATATAAACGAATATAAAAATATAACCAATAATAATAGGCTAATAATAATAATAATATACAAATATTACGGGAAAAAGACGATCGGTTAATGGACTTACAAGACTGTAGGATGTATAAAAATATTTTCTTGTAGGCCTATTTTATATTATGCACTTTATGTAACATTTATTCGTGATAAACTTCATTTGAATGCTGACTATCGCACGTAATACAGTCCGGTAGCCAAGGCCTATGGTTAATATAATAATTTAATAATGTAATAATTTCTATAATAAATAATATAATCATTTCTTAATTCAAAATAAAATATTAATGAATCTATCTCTGATAATCCCGGGTTGCTATGGTCACCCAGGTTTGTTTACGCATTAAACTCGTGGCCACGAGAAAAATATGTTGTTCCCTCAACATAAGAAGTCGTGACCACGAGAAATGGATGTCGTTCCCTCAACATAGCATCTCGAGGCCACAACATAAGGATGTCGTTACCTCGACAAAATGATCTCGTGGCCACGACATAATATCACGTTCCCACGAGTTAATATGACGTTCCCTCAAATTAATATCTCGTGGCCACGACATATTATCACGTTCCCACGAATTATTATGTCGTGGCCACGACAAAACTAAGTTAACCGAACATGTCACCTCCGGGGCACCGTATAATACATGTCTACATTAATAATATAATAAAATTCAATACAAATACCCACATTTATGACACAATACCATAGTGCAGTTAGTGTTACTGTAAATGCATGGTCAATGATGGTGATTTATAGATTGAAAAGCCTTTTGACTGTATCGTTGCACACAGTGTTTCTCCTGTTTGTCAGCGCTGTTTCATCTGCCTTTAAACTAGTTAAAGCAGCGAGTCATTTGTGTTGTTCGCTAAACTCAAGCGCTTCACACTGGATCTCATGTGACCGAGACTCGTCAGCGAGTAAACGCATCTGCTGGTAAACTCGCGCTGCTGTTATGAACCTTGAACTGAGCGGATAAACGGTCCGTGTGCCGTGATTCAAATGAGTCGCGCTCTTTCATTCCATTTTTGGCTCATGAACATTATATCGAACATTTATCGAACTCTTCATATCGTTTTATCGAGGAAAATTATATCACGATAATTATCATTATCGATTTATCGCCCAGTCCTACCCTAACCATATAGTAAGTACATGTAGTTAATTAATATTACTCAGTACTTAAATGTATAACTACACTGTAACAAGGACACCTTAAAATAAAGTGTAACCTAACTTTATTTCAATTAATGAAAACTATTTTTTAATAGTTCTGTTATTAGTTAACCAGTGTTGGGCAGTAACGCATTACTTAGTAACTTGTTACTGTAATTTGATTACTTTTTTAGTAACGGAGTAATTTAACGCGTTATAATTTTCAAAATAGTAATTAGAATATAGTTACAAGCCGAGGTCTCTATACGTTACTGCCGCGTTACATTGCTGACAGAATGCAGTGTTTTATAATCTGGAGATTGTAAAAAGGATGTAGCACACGCATTGTTGAGTCAATTGCCAGTGGGTTAGAGACCTGCTCTCCCGCGAGACCTGACGCAACAGAGTGCAGAGCGGTATTGCACAAAAGCTACATGAACTAATATAAAATATAAACGATTAACAGGTGCAAGCGTATGCAGAGTTTCTACTTAGGCTATAACACACTTGCAGCATTGAGCAATACAGTGCTGAAATTTGCGTGCTCACAGGAGAAAAAAGTAACAGTAACTAGTAATGTAACTAATTACTAATTACTTTTGAAATAAAGTAATCTGAACAGTAACGTGATTACTTTTAAAAGGAGTAATCAGTAATTTGATTACTTTTTCAGAGTAACTTGCCCAACACTGTAGTTAACAATAACAATGCTAGAATAATGGCATCAATTTCAGTCTGCTCCTCATTATATGGCTCCTGACGTCTTATGGAGAATAAATTATATGGACTACTTTATAGTGCTTTTCTTTATATTTTGTTGTTGTTGTTGTTGTTTTTGGAGCTTGACATGGTCGCTATAAAATGCTGCTATATGACAAAGATGTGCATGAAAAAATCTAAGTTGTCAAACAGATCTTCTGTTCTGCTTCTTTGCTCTTTGCCTTTCATTACCTGCATTATATTCAAGTCATAATCTGTTTTAAAGCTGCAAGTCAGTGTGTGATATTTGGCTGTTTATGAGCAAGTGTGTATGAGCAAATATAGCTTGAATGTGGCCTGTGAGAGAGAAGAGACGTGCTGGGTCATAACAGTCACTCATCTGCAGCTTTCTGCACATCTCATACGACAGCAGCCAGAGGTCATCCAGTGCTGTAGCAGGAGCATGACACAGCAGATTTCCTCATCAAAATATAGTATCTTTATTTTTCCTTATGCAAATACAGTGTTCTTTTTCTAAGCAATTCATATTTTTAGATTTGTATTTGTACTTCCTTTCACATGTTTTCCAATAACTCCTTCTTCAGACAAGTCTGCTTAATTTATGAGCCACACACAATAGCCAAAAAAGTTTTTTATAAGTTCATTTGATCTGAATGATCTGAATATTCATTATTTTGTTTGTGTATTTGATACAAACTAGGCAGACGGTATAAAATAAGAGAGACTGAGACTGTAGTCTTCTGCATCGGTGCAAAGTTCAAACAGATAGGACAGATCTCACAGCTGCGCTCTACATTATGACTCACACTGCGTCAGAGGGAGAACACACTGTCCCGATACTGATTCAGCGACTGCACATTTTCCAAAAATAAAAAATTATTAGATCCCTGTTTATTTATTCATAATATAGTTACTTATTAATAATATAATTTTTATTGTTTTAATGAGCTTTCATCATTGTACTTACATTTCATTTTCTTTACTTTTTATTTCACTTACATTTCATTTTTCATCTAATTTATTTCTTATTTCAGCTTTATTTGAGTTTTTTGTTGACAATAATAACACGTTAACCGAACATGTTTTGTTCATTTTCATCACCCAGCCAACCCCAAGTGGTTGAAAGGTCATGTCATTATGGTAAAGGATTGAGTTGCTTATTATGAGGAGCATATTGCAGTGTATCGTTGCTTATACTGAGCTGTGCCAGTTCCTTTTTAATTATTTAGATCATTAATCCCTCTTTTCCCTCAGCATGTGTCTCAGGATGCACAATGTAGCAGAAATCGCTGCTTTTTACCCTTCCTTTTCTCATTTCCTCTTTTGTCTGTTTCTCTCAAATTAAATATTCTAGCTGTATCAGGAATGAAAACTTTTTTTAAAGCTTCTGGGTAGATCTTGATTTCACTGAGTAATCTGATTGTGAAAGTTAAAGCTCTATTATTTCTGTTGTCTGGCTTCGCACCAACGCAGAGTCAGAGACCAACCAGTCTGTGTCAGCACAATGTTAAATATATTACAGCTCCGCAAGCAATGCTGCTGCCAGGTCTACTGAGTGTGAAGAGATCAGATAGATTCGATGAAATGGACAGATTCTTATGTTTACTTTTGACTTTGATGGCATGATCTGCTTCACATGATCCTGTAAGAGAAAAAATGCAAACATTATGTCTATCTTAAAGGGACAGTTCACCTAAAAGTGAAACCTTTTGAAATCATTTATTCCTTATTCTATGGAACATGAATGGAAAAATGCATTTTCAAAACACAACATTTGAAAAAAGAGTTTATTTTATTTTCTGCAGACCAATGAAAGTAATTTAGGTTTGGACTGACATGGAAGGTAAGCAAATGATGACAGAATTACATTTTTGGGTGAACTGTCCCTTTAATAGTATTATAGTGTGGCAACAAACCTGAAATATTTCTTTTTAGAATGTACCTCCTTAGGAAACTGCTGTTATGTAAGTGAGATGAGGGTTGATACATGGTTTGATATAGAAAATAATTTCTTCAAGTCCAACTGACGACACTGTCTGTGTTCTTGTGTTTTATTCAGGCTGGCTGCAGCTGAGCTTTTCATGCTGTGCTGACAGTGAGGAAGACAGATCCAGCTGAAGAAGGAGAAAGGAAGGAGGGGACAGCTGACTCCATGTCTTCACCTTCAAATAAAAGATCTGGCTCTGGATCGCGCAAGTATGGCACCTTTTGTCTCTCTCCAAGTCTTCTTTCTAACAGACATTCTTTCAAACCTGCAGCTGTGTTGGTGCTTTGCTGTAATATCTAACCCTTCTAGCTGCTGTTTAACTCTCTTAATCACAGTAAGATCTCTGCTGTAGTTTAATGACCTTTTGAGCTTCAAGTGCTTCAATAATCCTTTCTCTCTCTTTCTTCCGCTGCCGTCATTAATACATCAGCTGTTTAGCGCTTTCAATTTCTCTCTCTGCTGTCAAGACCTTTTTCACCCTACAAATGCCAGATTGTATAAGAACTTCCTGAGGGGCCAGTTTAAAAGATTTATAAGCACATTAATGTACTTGGCTATTAAACACATACACACAAATATACACTATCGTTCAAAAGTTTGGGGTCCATATGATTAGTCTCTTATGCAAGGCTGCATTTATTTCATCAAAATACTGTAATATTGTGAACAAATATTATTACATTTTAAAATAACTGGTTTCAAAAAGTATTTTAAAAAGTAGTGTATTCCTGTGATGGCAAAGCTGAATTTTCAGCATCATTACTCCAGTCTTTAGTGTCACATGATCCCTCAGAAATCATTCAAAAACACTGATTACCTGCTTAAGAAATATTTCTTATGATTATCGATGTTGAAATAGTTGTGCTTAATATATTTTGGAAACTGTTATACATTTTTAAGGATTCTTTGATGAATAGAAAGTTCAAAAGAACAGCATTTCTATGAAATAGACATTTTTGTAGAAATGCAAACGTATTTAGCTAAAGATCAATTTAATACATCATTGCTAAATAAAAGTATTAATTTGTTTAAAAATCTTATTAGGAAAGGCAGAAATGATTTCAAAACAAATAACAAATTGAATCAAATTATAGAAGAAACATTATTCAACAAGCACATGGATAAAAGCATTGTTTTTAATAAGCATATTTAAAATTATGACACAATGAACGTGATTTCAAGTTCAAACGTTTTGAATTCCTTTTATTGTGTGCATCTCAGAAATAAGATGTCAAGTGTAACTTTAAACTAAGATACAACATCATGCATATCTTCCAATTTAGACCTTCGAGTAAGATTAGCCCAAACATGCTGCTGTGCCTCACTCACTCGCATTCTTTTATTAGCATTATTTTACATAACGACTGCAGTAAAATATGTGTAATTGTATGAATCACACTTGTACAATTATACAGTGATATATAAATTAAATAGTTACATCTAAAAATTCCACACATTTCCTGTGTAAGCCACGCCTGTGTGCAATTCTGTCTAAATACAGATAATTTTATAGTGGCAATGAGTTTTAATGGTAATATTGCAGTAGAGCCCAGCTCTGTGCCTCTGTCTCATCTCTGTTTCCTCAGATTCAACCTGCTGAAGGCCCTACAGCCTAAGCACCGCTTGCAACAAATGCTGTCATCTCCCACTGCATCCCCTGTGTGAGACTCTGATTCCGTACCCTATAGTAGGGCATGACTGTAGTAGTCAACACTGCTGCACTGGGCATTCACACGCCAATTTCAAACCAGCCCATTACCTGCTACCACTGATGCTGATGTTGGGGATCTGAGAGGGCAGTTTACGCTGAACTCTCCGGTCTTTGACAGAGGCTCAGAGGAAGAGTAAATGGATCATTTAATCATCTGTAAATCTGTTCCATGAGAAGCCATTTTGGCTGTGATTGAAATGATAATCTGTGAGATCGACAATGAATGTGATATTTTCAGTGATTCTAATGAGTGTGTGGCAATGCAGTGCACATATTCACTACACATTACCCGACTTTCCCTCAATTAGTCCATATCACTGAAAACATAATGGACGTACCTGGTCTGTCCAACTACCCTGGCTGCTTTTCTCTTTCTCCTTTCTTTTCCTTGCTATCAGTATTGATAGCAGAGTCACTCCTCAAGCACGCTTTGTTTGTTTCGGGTCTTTCACTTTGCTTTTATTTTCTTTGCTTTGCTCTCACCTTAACCATGACCTTGGCTTGCTTTCATGGTTAGGTAGTTCAGCAAACCTTTTATAGCCCACCAATGGTGGTCCTGGTGGACAGTAGTTATAGTGGCTTGTCATTGTAAATGTGCTGTTTTGATTGGTCTATTTTTATATAACATGTTGAGCTGTTTAACTCAAGATAATTATATTTAGACAATATTTAGAGTTATTTTAGTGTTGTTTATATACTATTATATCATTTATGAATTTTAGATTGTATTTTTATATTTTCAGTTTTCATTTTAATGTAAGTTTTAGTAATGTTTATGTGTGTATCATTTTTATTAGTTATTATTTAAAATTATTATGTTCTGTTTAGCTTTAATAGATTTTTATTTTAGTTTTAGTAATTCAGTGGTATAAGGTTCAACTGATATAAGGTTTTTAGTGGTTGCTGCTGATACTGATATTTACTCAAAACTCACTCACAAAACTGAAATAAAAATGACCAAATATCAGTTCAATAATATCAGACTATCACTGGATTCAAAGTTATCCATCATGCCTGTAAAAACAGCACTCTGCACCACCTAAAGGAAGTGCTTTCTTTCAGCGCTGCTAACCCCAGATTTAATTTTCCCAAAAGAGAATGTTTCTGGGAGATTAAAGAGTCCTTGAAATCAGTTAGATAGTTAGAATCTCTTTTTCGTTTACATAAAAGAGACTTTTAATGCCAGCAAGGATGAAGGAAACAGTGTAATTCTGTCAAAAGTAATTTAGTAAGCCTTTGTATAATAAATATGTCCAGCATGATTTTTTATTCTTTTAAGTGTGGCAAAGTGGCTCTGATCCTTCCCAGCCCTGTGCTAGTGTTTCTGACAACCAGAATTAATAAGAAGCTCCTTTTTATCTTTCTCTCTGTCCTCCCCTAACTGCTGACTTAATTAGTCTGACAATCTGTCAAGTAATCTGTCAGATCTGCAACCTCGTGTACAGAGTTTCATGATCTTAATGAAACAAGCTTCATCTCAAGTTAATTTCAATTGGATGTTTGAAATGGACTTTAGACTGACATCAACCCAAAGTTGCTTACTTTAACCAAATATTATGTAAATTGCAATCATTCAAAATTGTAATATTGAGTGCATCAAACCAGGAATTTCAATGACAGATGTATACATAATTTTCAGGAAACTGGAAAAAAAATTGTGGATACAAATAGAGCATAATGAAAAGCTTACAACCCAGTCTGTATAAGTGGCAGATGATTACTTTTTTGTAGCACAACTGCTTCTACCCAGCTTCATTATAAACAAGTTTACAAGAAAATGTCCACAGAAACATTCATTTGAATTTTTATACAAAACAGGTTAAGGTGAACTTTAGGTGTGTGCGCTATCCTGTGTAATGATTCCTTTTTGTTTGTGGGTCAGTTTTGACTATTGCAGGTTTATAGAGCTAGACTACACACCCATGGAGTCAGGCATTATGGTCTCTATGAGACAGAGCAGAGGATTTCTGACACCAAAGTCCCCGGAACACCACTGTCGGTCAGCGCTCCATCATCCCTTCTGTCTTGTTCTTTTTTTCTTTCTCTTCTTTTCTTCACTTTTCTTTGTTCTCTGTGTGGCATTGTGTCAGCATGGATTCAAACTCTTCAACCACAGCACGATGTCCCTATAAAATCCAACATTTTGATTTTACTGGGGGTTTAAAGCTCGAATTGCATATGTGTGTCACAGTTGAAGATGATTTCATGTCTGTGGTGTGCAAAGCGAGCTCTCATTAGATGGCTCTGCATTCAATTTCTGCTTGTTCAGCTGCCAGTTTGTGTGTCACAGTTGAAGATGATTTCATGTCTGTGGTGTGCAAAGTGAGCTCTCATTAGATGGCTCTGCATTCAATTTCTGCTTGTTCAGCTGCCAGTTTGTTTCTCATAATTGATTCATGATGGAAATTTATCATGATTAGTCATCTGTGCCTCAGCACATAATTCAACTGTTTGTATTACTTTGCAATTTGTGCTTGCAGTTTTATGTGAGCTGGGTGTCTTTTCTTTTTTTCATCCATAAAAGGTGTTGTCCCCCTAGTTGACTAGTTGACTGTATGTATAGAGGCATGTTAGTCAATTTGTAGTAGGCATGTTTGATTTTGTGTTTCATGGAATTGTACTTTTTGTTTGTTCATGTTAGTGTGTGTTTGTGCATTCTGTTTATTCCTCATCCTGCGTCCCCCTAAGTGGCCTTGAAGGTGACACTCTGAAATTGTGATTCTGTTATGCTACAGACGGAGTCCAGCACCTGTCAGTAACCGTGATCCCTATGGAAATGCCTCTATCAGCAGCAGTAGCAATTCAGGGTCATGCAAGGGCAGTGACGGAAGCCCAACCCATAGGTGAGACACAACTCACCCATATACCAGCGAGGCATTGCATCTTTCTCTTCTTTCTTGTTTGTTTATATGTAGTATATACCACTTTTCTCATCCATATCAGGCGTCACATAAAATACACCTCCTGCAATGATAACCATGGTATCCGGCCCCCTCCACCTGAGCAATACCTTACCCCACTGCAACAGAAAGAGGTGTGTATCAGACACCTCAGAGCACGGCTCAAAGAAAGCATCGAAAGACTGCAGGACAGGTAAGGCATGAATCATTCATAAAATGAGGGCCCATGCACTAATCATCTCATCAGTCTATGAAGAAATTAGTTTTATCTTTAAGCAGCTTTGAGTGGCAGTTAAAGTTATTCCTTTATTTTGGAATTGTTATGCAAATTTGCACTTGGTTGATTTCTAGACCATGTATCAATTATCTATCAAGTCACTAACTGCTGAATATTAGCATTTAGACTGTGTAATTTGTCATTTATTTCCTTCTATTCTAAGGACTCCATTTGTCTAATAGCAAGGAAATTTTAAATGGGGACATTACATAGACTTCTATTGTTTTTATATACAGATAGTTATATACTTTTTAACCCACCCCTAACCCTCACAGAAAACTTTCTGCATTTTTACAATTTCAAAAGGAAAAAAAAAAACTTTGTTTACTTTATTTTTATAACAGTTTTACAAATGAGGACATCCACAAATTGAGGTTTTTGCCGATTTTTTCAGGTTTTGCTCACTTTTGGGTACAGATTTGTCCCCAAAATATGGTTAAGTACACACACACACACACACACGCTGTTCCATTTGTAAAATGGAACAGCTTCTTAAACAACTGAATGTGCACTCTTAACTTCAGCCAATCAAGCATTATATTATGATATTATGATAATTAAGCACTATTTAATGATAGAACTAGTGATTAGAACTAAAACTTGGTAACCATGAATGAATGCATATTTGTCATTTTAACTGAACTTAGGACTGGTGGTGATGTTTAAGATATTGTTGGTCATAGCATAGGTAATAGTAATTATTATTAAAAGATACTACTACTACTACTACTACTACTATTATATGCTGGGTTCATGAATATTAATCACGTTGTCAGCGTTCGCTCGAACTGATTTGCTGAAATCAAAACAGGAACGGTAATAGATGAGCGCCAGCCAATGAGAGCTGTTCGCGCATTAGCCCCGCCCACTGCCGAGAAACCGGCATATCTTCTGCTTGTTCTTAAAAGCTGAATAATTCTAAATGAACTCTGTTATTTTGACAGGAAAATACAACAAAGAATATGGTTTACATGTAGCGCGTCGATTCAGCATGGTATGCAAGACTCTCGCTCTCTCTCTTTGCATGTGTGAGAAACACAGCGCTATCAGTAAAGCGACGGCGAGTCGTGCGCCTTCACACTAGTTTGCGGTACGTCAAAAACAGGTGCGCTGCGTGCTACATACTGCGCATCCATTGAGTACATGACATGATCCATTGAGCGCATCCAAATAGTACAGATCGCTTGACGGAGAGCGAAACTCTCAAGTGCTCAGTCAGCGTGTTTATCGAGTGAAAATCGGTGTTGAACGCCTCTCACACACATACTGGCGTGTTAAATCTAATTAGCCAATGGCTAATGTTGGACATTATTTAGTCGCCCAGAGTAAGATTTAGTCGCATATGCGAGTGATTTACTCGCAATGTAGAGGGTTGCACTGGTCAAACGAATAGAAGGTCTTTCCCCAAACTCAGACAATTGTTGAAGCCATTGTGTTACTATGTTGGGCAGCTCCAACTTAAACTGTCACCATGTTCAAGGAAAGTACAATTTTCAAAGAAAGTAAACTATCAGTCAATTCCATATAGTTGGCAAGTCACATTGTACTGGGATAGAAAAAAGTATTAAGTGAAAACATTTCACACAGCAGTTTTAATTTTGGTCTTTGACCCACAAGTCACTTCTTGACATTCCTTCCTTGCTTTACTCTTTTGACATCCTCTGTCTTTTTTCCCCTCCTTCCTTAGGGACACTGAGATTGATGAGTTGCGTACTCAGCTGTCTCGTATGCAAGAAGATTGGATTGAAGAGGAGTGCCACCGCGTGGAGGCCCAGCTGACTCTGAAGGAGGCTCGCAGGGAGATCCAGCAGCTTAAGCAGGTTGTCGATGTTGTCAGATCCAGTCTGGGAGACACCGACACTGGAGTGCAAAAGTGCTTCCAAGACATAAACCTCCAGAACCACAAGCTGGAGTCTTTATTGCAGAGCATGGAGCTGGCTCAGATCGGGACCCCCAAAACAGGAGAAACCCTGGCAGGTGGAGGGGTGGTGGGGGCAGGGCTGGAGGTCAGCGAGGGCCTGGCGGAGTCTTCCGAAGGCTCCCCAGCTCGCTCACTTACCCGCAGCTCTACCTACACCAAGCTAAGTGACCAGACTGGCCAGGAACGTGGCGGTAATGAAAATGGGTGTGACATTCCATGTTTGTCAGGTGAGGGTACGCAGGACAGCGGGTTTGTTTGCTGTGGAGAAAGTGGAAGAGGAGCAAGTAAGGCAGACCTGCTCCTGGAGGCTGCGTTTTTGTCTCAAGAGACAGCCTCGCTGCTCAATGCGTACTCCCGCCTGCCACACTCCTCCACATATGAGGCACTGAGCATCAGCGAGCCGAGAGTTGTGCCACTCCGCTGCAGTGGGATCGGGACGGGGACCACTGTTAGTGTAAGTCATCCATGTCTGTCGCATCATCACCTATACCTGCATCACCTGCGTGAGCAAGGCATTCAAACCGACTACGACCATGACCCTGCTTCGGCCCCTGCCCATGGTCCCAGTACATCCTTTAACTCTGATCTGGACACTATTGCTGAGCACACCTTCCGCTCCCAGGCATGCAGTCCGACATCTACCTGGATGTCTGATGAGGGAGATGATCTGGAGTCAGTAGCCACAGAATCAGCCATTATGGCAACAATTGCCACAGCTTCTGTCATCACAGACTTTTCCACTAAGTCTGCACCAGCTGTTGCAATGGAGCCTTGGTCACCAACTGTATCTGTTCCAAAAGGACCTGCGAATTTAGCGTTGGAGTCCTCTGTCAAGGAGACAACTGTTTCAGAGCTCCTTACAGTCTTACCAATCACCACAACAGCTTTGACCACGGAGACCATTGGATCCCAAGTAACCAACTCTGTTCAACCTCAACCTGTAACAGACCCTTTGCCAAACCCTTGCAACTCCCCTTGCTCCATGCAGCCATTGATTGAGACTGAAGGAGAGCCCCTTGCACAGACCACTCAGCCTCGTAGTGTACTAACAGACGCTGGGGATGAAGGGGATCATGTCATAAATATAGGTGCAGAAGATCAAGATGAGGTTGACGAGAGTGCTACGAGCACAGAATCCATGTCGTCTGGCTGTGGTTTACCAGCAAAGAACTACTGGAGCCGGCACTTCCTAGTGGATTTGCTTGCGGTGGTCGTGCCAGTGGTCCCCACAGTGGCGTGGCTCTGTCGGGGTCCACACCGTGTTGGTCAGCCAATGTACCATATTGGTTCTCTCTTGCGAGGTTGCTGCACTGTGGCTCTCCATTCCCTGCGTCGAGGAGGAGGCCTTCGGCACTACCCCGCAGGAGGAGGTGGTCCAGGGGGAATGAGTATATGAGACCAGCTATTCTCTCTGGAGAAGCCTTGAAGCCAGTGATATCACTGTTCTTCTGTCAGATGTGCAATTAGGGAATGGTTAACACATGTAAAATGAATTGAGGCAACCAGTGGAAGGATAGTGTCTGAGCACAGCACCTTAATACTGTGGTTCTCTATGGTCTATATCCAAGACAAGATAAGAATGAGGAAGGGGAATCACTAGCATGTATTTACACCTACAAATGAGATGCTAATGAAGTTCAGGACTTCAAACGAGCTTTCACCTTTTTCCACAACTACTACCCTGAGTGAAGATGCGAGATGATGTGTTCTGAATGATGGACTGACACAATGACATTAACTCAGCTTTGTGAGTGACACTAAAAGATCCCCTTTAATAGGATTGTATTACCCTTATTTAGAGTGAAGAGACGCAATAGGTGATGGGAAAAAACTTGTCCTTTTGTGCGTCCCTCTTACTGTCACCGCAGAGGGTGTGTGTCTGTGTGTGTGTGTGTGTCTTGACTTTTCTGAGCGAGTGTTGTGTTGTGTTAATGTACAGTGCAGCCAAAGTACCTGGATTACTAATGGCCATCATTGTTGTAGCCATGAGTGCAGTAGTTAGCTGTCCCATTACTCCTGCCTGTGTGGCATAAGAGAAGAACAGTCATCTTTCCCCCTTAAGGAGCCAGGCAAGCGCCTGCTGAGCTATTTATATGCTTTGCATATACCACTAGTGTCCTAGATAAATGCTGTCACAAAATGATACTTGGTCCATCTGGAGTATTTTAGATAATGTATTCTTTATACTAGGCTCAATTATGTGGGGAAAGTTTGATGGTTCAGAAATACTCTGTATAGTTGAATGCTAAATTGTGTATTTAGGAAAAGGGTAATGCATTTTAAGTAATAATATGAACAGTAAGAAAGATTCAGCGTTTAGACAATGATCAGGGTTAAATGACTTTAATAGGGTCATGGGAGCTTTTTCACCAGAAATGAATTTTATGATTTTGTTTCACTGCGATTTTCACTGTGTGCCCATCAAAAAACTGTCATAGCCAGATGTTTTTGGATGAAATACTAATCTTTAATAATAGGTCTAATTTTCATGTTCACTGTTAGTCTAGGTTATATAATTACAGCCGGATGTGGTTGGCAACAGCTGGCATGAGAGTTGCTAAATAAGGAAACTGCTGAACTTAATTTAGTATTACACCCTGCTAAACAAGACTATTAGTACTAATGTTATTAAATGTTAGCTAATATTTTATTTCCGAAATACTATGTGACATAATTCCACTAAAAAGATCAAAGAAAGCAAAAAATTTATTTTGTATTGAGTTACTTGCAGAAACAAATTTTAATTTAGAATTGTCTGCTTTCAGCTTTTTCCAAACATTTGGCAATGATTTCATGTACCCTATGATGTTCATGTTGACCATTTATTTGACTGACACTTAGGTGACGGGTGACATTTAATGACATGTCGATTGCACTATAATTCACTTTATAAGCAATTACTTGAAGTATACTTGATTGTGAGTTTCTGTCTGTCCAAAGGCCAATGCATACATGTGGATTGTGGTTCAGGGTTAGATTTCACCAACACCACCATTTCAAAAAAATCAACATCGATTCATAAATTCATGTGAATATTTATGCGTTGTGTATATGTGACAGCTGGATTGATTTGCCAGTCAACAGTGTACCAGATAATCAGCCAGATGATCACTATTGTAGTTATTTGTGTCTCTCATATTGTCTTATCTTCTGTCCCTCAAAATCATGAATAACCGCTGCCTTTCTTTCTACCTCCTCCCTCTGATATTGTGTACGGTATAATGTGATACAGGCTTTATTTGTTGTCTATTTGCGAAATTCTCATTTAAATAATTTACTGATTTCTGTTGTGCCGATTTGATGTAGCGTCTGTAAGGTTTTTCAGCGCTTGATATTTATTCTTTTAACTAGTTGACAATCTTAATTTGTGCTTAATTTGTGTGGTCAGTGGGCATATAGTCTAGTCTCTGCACTTTTTCACCTCATTCCAACTGAGCACTTATCAAATAACCTTACAATCGATTTAAAGAAATTAAGGCATATATGTTCCTGATATATATTTTTTTAATTTTAATTTCATGTATGTTGAAATTATGAATGTGTGGCTTTCAGATAGTTCTGTTTTTTTTTGGCTTATCAGAATATGTATCGGGAGGTTAAATGAGATTGTAATCAATTGTTACCCCAAGAACAGGAGGTTTCCTCCAAACTGCTACTGTCTGTCAATGAAATGTACGTAAATAACTATTACATTAGTTATTTGGCTGGATAAATGTTGTACGCTGATATAAAGCTTTGTATACCTGTTGAAATGACACACAAGGCCTTGATAAGATTTTCTTGAATTTTTTGAAGCCATATTACAAGCAGAGATGAGTATGTTGGCCCTGTATGCTGGTAAATTTGAGTAATATTTCTATTTTGTCGTGTATTGTCATATCACAGTTTTTTCCATTTTGTATGAGTGTTTGCAATTTAATGTGAGAATGCATGTGTATATGAATATCAGTTCATTTTTATTTCTGCATTTGGATGGTAATTAATAATCACAGATTATTTGCTTTAAAGCTTCCCATCCTCCATTAGGATCTACAGATCTCAATACATGTTAGTTTATTAATAAAGTCTTTAATTATTTTCTGAAGTTAGCAGGCTCTCCCTGAATTGTGTCTGAACATTTTAGCCAAGTGACAGGTTTTTCCTCCATATCCAGTTTTTATAGCATTTTTGGGGAGGATTAAGAAAAACATGTCCAAGTTTGATGTCAATGTCAACTGGCACAATTTTTGTTTAGAATGTTATTTAACCACAAAATGTCTTGTAATTTTAATTTCATGTATGTTGAAATTATGAATGTGTGGCTTTCAGATAGTTCTGTTTTTTTTTGGCTTATCAGAATATGTATCGGGAGGTTAAATGAGATTGTAATCAATTGTTACCCCAAGAACAGGAGGTTTCCTCCAAACTGCTACTGTCTGTCAATGAAATGTACGTAAATAACTATTACATTAGTTATTTGGCTGGATAAATGTTGTACGCTGATATAAAGCTTTGTATACCTGTTGAAATGACACACAAGGCCTTGATAAGATTTTCTTGAATTTTTTGAAGCCATATTACAAGCAGAGATGAGTATGTTGGCCCTGTATGCTGGTAAATTTGAGTAATATTTCTATTTTGTCGTGTATTGTCATATCACAGTTTTTTCCATTTTGTATGAGTGTTTGCAATTTAATGTGAGAATGCATGTGTATATGAATATCAGTTCATTTTTATTTCTGCATTTGGATGGTAATTAATAATCACAGATTATTTGCTTTAAAGCTTCCCATCCTCCATTAGGATCTACAGATCTCAATACATGTTAGTTTATTAATAAAGTCTTTAATTATTTTCTGAAGTTAGCAGGCTCTCCCTGAATTGTGTCTGAACATTTTAGCCAAGTGACAGGTTTTTCTCCATATCCAGTTTTTATAGCATTTTTGGGGATGATTAAGAAAAACATGTCCAAGTTTGATGTCAATGTCAACTGGCACAATTTTTGTTTAGAATGTTGTTTAACCACAAAATGTCTTGTAACATGCATATCTTGTTGAAGCATTACTCTCCAATAACACTTTTTAGGGTAAGCTGGCAATGGATAATTTGTTTTTCTGTTAATTGTTTGGTTAAATGGAAATAGCCTTCAACAAGACGAAAGTGATAAGCCATGCTTTTTTCTTTCAGAGTGAATATTGAAATGTAAAATTGGTGACAAACTGACACATCAGTAGTTTAGTGTCTGTTAAGCAGGATTATACGACTGTGCCTAGAAGATTAGATCTCACACATGTACCTTTGTTATAGAGGTTTTTTTTTTTCTTAAATGGTCATTCTTAATGACGTGTTTACATTTTCACCTGGCACTTCAGTTTTGTCTCTGTATTGTCTAACAGGATCAGCACCCTAAGTGGAACCAGTCTTGTAAGTCTGGTAATGTTTCATAGTGTCTCAATATTTTTGTGTAGAATATTTTAATGGTAATATTAGTGTGTACAGACATCACTGCAACACATCGCTCTTGACCCTCATTGCTCTGTAAAAGGATCTATATTAAACAGCATGGTGAACAAAGCCTTCTCACTATTTTGAAGTTTTTTCATCCTTTGTTTCAAATCTTGTTTCTAATCATTTGAAAATGAGGAAATGTGTGGAGCATCTCAAAAACTTTTTTTGAAATGGAACATTTAGTTTTAGATCCATTGGTATCACCAGGATTATTATTTATTTTTGTAATAATTTCAGTCTTGAGGATACATTTGTATATAAATCTTTAGAGACACTAACATTTACAGGATAATGACAGAGAATATTATCAAAGTTTAAACACCTAAAAACAAGTTCAAAATCAATAAGAAATGAGTTGTTGCATTACACATTCTGGCCCAGGATTCCTTCTGGCAGAGTACAGCTGTCTTGGCATATAGATGTTCGATAAAAAACAAAAAAGAAAGTGTTTGTGCATAGTGGGAAGAATTTAAAAGTGGAGTGTTGAAGCTAATGCTCTTCAAAACGGAAGCTCAGGTTCAGTTTTTAACCCCTTGCCCCCCAGCCAAAATAAAGCAATCGGATAATAATACTCAATAATGACAATGGATTATTATTATATAACATGTAATATGAAAACAATTAAACAATAGCAACAATGACATGTAGGACAGAATCAAGAACTAGAAGGCAAAACGATAACGGCCAACAAGTGAAATAGAAAAAGGCCGTTTTTACATGTTATAAATTAATGTGATTGAGGGGGTTTATCCAATCAGTGATAGACCACCCATGTGGTGGAAGGCTCCAATGGGAAGGCTAGAGATTGTAGGCATTGTGAAAGGGGGTGTGCGTGGTCTCCTGTGTTCAGACCTCAGGCACCGAGTGATCCATGGATGACTTCAGCAGGCCGCTTGACATCCTGGAATATACAGATTAGGGCTGTCATGATCAGGAGATGACAATTGACTTACACATTCAATCTGTTTTGTTCATGTCAAATTGTAATCTTACATTTTAAGTGTAAATGTATAATCTATACATTTTAAGAAGTCATTCATTTGCACAGAATTTGAAATATTTATGATTTTCCTATAATTAATATAATATATAATAATGCAAATTTCTGTTGTACACAATCTACTACATGCCTTCTGTCATCTGACAGTATTTATACTATTTATACTTATTTGTACAAGTAAAAGGCCTTTTAGTATCATTCTAAAATAGTCCACCTTCAGGTCCTGGTATATGTGCGTTTTAAATCTTTACTGATCTTTACACAATAAACAATAACTTTTATATTGTTAGAAATATTTCAAGATTTCAACGCTTACTGGACTAAAGCAACTTACGTTTACTTAATTATTCATACATCATTTTTTAGAAAAGTTAATGTATCACATTTGATGCATCAGGCTTTTGAGGATTGTTTATTTGTACATCTCGTATTGGATAACATTATGTTTTCCCCCATAATTAAAACTACAAAACTTTGATTATAAAACTAAGCATTTAAATATCATTTTGCCAAGACATTATAGGTAATAGAGTGACAACTGATATTTATATGCATTTCAAGTAGTCTGCTATATACTGTTATGAAGATCTCATTGCTTTACATTACAAGCTACCAGAATTTCATCTTTCTTTTTGGCCATAGAAATATTGGCATCTGCACTAAATTTCATATTTTTGCTCATTTTGAGTATCTGAATAAATCAAAGGTCTTTTAAGGTATTTCCACCTCCGATGTGAGCTCCATACTCCTATACTATACTATTTGAAACGCCTTTATCAAATATGATGCTCAAAAAGAAACTGTCTAACTGTCTGACTATTATTTTTTTAGGCTTTACAGAGTTAATGGATTAATGGCAAAAAAAAATGTAATTGTGTATTATCACTTATGAGTATAAAAGAAAGCGGGATCTCACTTCTTAATCATGTGATCGTAGATAAACTTAGGCATGATGGTGATGGTCATGGCAGTGGGAGATGTAGTAAGGATGTCCTTAATCTGAGTGTCCTGTAGACAGAAAACAAAACGATTTACTCCACAAATCTCAGAATGTTATTTATTGGCGTGTTGCTTTGACAGCAGATTTAAAGGCATATCCTGAAAACACTACCGTGACCCCTCTCACCTTGACTCCAATGACGTTCTGGCCGTTGATCTCACAGATGTAGTGATCGGTGAGCAGACCGTTGCGGGCAGCAGAACCATCTTTCACTAGAGATGTGATACGTCCGGATTTGAAGATGAAGCCCACGTGGCCAGAGCTGTCCTTATGCATTGTGACTGTGCGCTGGAATGGTCTGGAACACAAAATATATATAATGTGAGCATTTTTGGCCCCATCTGTGCAATTATATTTATGATTACCACAGAAAAATATTTTGACTTGACCCACATTTTTGTGTGATCAAGACACTGTATCTAACTTTAATACGTCCGGATTTGAAGATGAAGCCCACGTGGCCAGAGCTGTCCTTATGCATTGTGACTGTGCGCTGGAATGGTCTGGAACACAAAATATATATAATGTGAGCCTTTTTGGCCCCATCTGTGCAATTATATTTATGATTACCACAGAAAAATATTTTGACTTGACCCACATTTTTGTATGATCAAGACACTGTATCTAACTTTAATGTCAGTAGGGTCATTAAGTGATTCATGTCTCATGCCAACATATAATGTTCTGTGGCTATATAATTAAAACGGCATTTAAAATGTTTAGCCTACTGCTTGTAAGTGCCTTAAGCCGGGCTCACACTACAGGAGTTTTAAAATCCTAACTGATTATATCGTGGCGCATCACACACTACAAGATATTATTAAGATTATCATGCCAGAGGGAGCGCCTCACGTGATCTCATGCAGCAGATCGTCATTGATATTTCAGTGATGTTTACATATGTTAGCTAGCCTGCTAGCTGCTTTCTACACTCACCCGGTATATTCCAAACTGAGGCTCCACTCTCAGCGCTTTCACTCCAGCGCTTCTCTTTCTCCTTACGGTTGTGATACGTTTTCGACATTATACAGACAGTTGTGTTACTATACAACGCCAAGAAGCAGTTTCCTCCATCTCCACTATCCAACGGGGCCGTACAGCAGCTGTTTTGCGGTCGTGCATTGGCTATTGTGAAAGTACTGACGTAATCATATAGCCGTCATCTTCCCGATTTAAATCCTAAATATCAAACATGTTTGATATGATCGGGGCGGCCCCGATTTGTGTGCGAGCAGATCGGGAGGTGCAAGATTCGATCGGTGAACGCCTCACATTACCAGATAATCCGCGCCGAACATCGGGACCGATCGAGGGGCTCGACAAGATTTTTGCTCCGATTCTCGGGAGGGGGAAATCGGGGCTAAATCGGGCTAAAAATCCTGTAGTGTGAGCCAGGCTTTACAGTAAATTAATTTATTTATTTATTTTGTTTCAAAATTATCTGTGGTAACTGCCACAGATGTTATTAATAGAGCTTAACTTGGATCTAAAGCAGGAAGTTTCCATTTCACACTGAACTCAACAAATATTACAACTATAATAAATAACCACCAGGAGGCAGCAAAGATCTAGACAAATATCGTTATATATTTGTCATGCTGATTCTGTCCAACTTGTCATGACAATATTCACAATATTTTGTTAATGTGGGTTTATTATTATTATTTGTATTATTATAATTACTTTATTTATTGTTTTATTATTATTATCAGCAAGGATGTATTAGTTAATCAAAAGTGGCAGTAAAAGTG